TATTTAGTCTATTATATGAACTCCCCTTCCGATTCATTCACATAAACCAAATCAACTAAGAGGTGGCCAAGCTCCTAATTGCATTGCGCATAATAACTCATAGACAATATGAAAATAAAAACAACTTGGTTAAATTAAATAAAAATCAATCCTTGGTCGTGGTTAGGCTTTCCATAGCCCTAGCTACAAATAAACTAGTTCATGGTAAAGGAAATTAAACAAACAAGGTACAAGAAAGAACTCATGATGTCACCCTTGAGGTTGAGATCGGCGAGCATCTCTTCTCCTTGTCACCGCCCATCTCCTTGTTTGTCTCCTTCTTTTCCGCCACCTTCCTCTGTCTTTTTTTTTTTTCTTTTGGAACCCTTCTCTTTATATAATACTGGAAAGATAAGGATTCCCTATAGATTATCTCCTATAGGATAGGATTTGAATTTTCCTAAACAACTTCCTCTTCTTAGCACAAAAATAGGAATCTAGATATGGATCAAATCTTCCATCTTATCCTTCCAAAATAAAAGGAAATTCTTGGGGTGAAATCGCCTAGCAATTCGCTCCTTTCTTTGTTCGTCGCCTCCTTCCTCTCTTCACTTCAACTTGCGCCATAGATGGAGATTTCCACCAATTGGTATTTAATTCTTCAATTCCAAGCCCATCTTACCTGCAACATTAATTTGGCTTCATTGAATATCAAATTTAAATAGAATTTATAAATTAAGCACAATTTCTGTCAAAATAAAAGGAAATTATCTACAATTAATATATACACTTTGCACTCTATCAAATTCCCCCATACTTAACATGATGCATGTCCTCAAGCATACCTTAATCCAAACTTAATAATTTTTCTATTTTTCACTTCTTTCTCCTTCTTAACTCATCAAAGAACAATCTCAAATCACCATTCTTCATGAACCCAAGTCAAATCAACAATCAAGGAAAACAAGCAATTCACAGAATGAACTTTTTAGCACTAAAATAAGCACTCATTGTCTTAACAATCTCTCTTAAAATAAAAATGCAACAAGATTCAAATACCCTCTCATTGTTTTCACTCTATGTACTCAAGGTGTTTAAGGTATCATTAGACTGTCAACTCAAAACAAGGAATGTTATTACCATAAGCTTGCTTATATATCACATCTCCACCACTAAGCATGAGTTCAATTTATTAAAAATAAAGGTGAAATGGGACTCGGGGTTCTAGGGGTGAGTGCATTTTATGCTCCATCTCACCCTTTTCTTTTGCTTTTAGTGTAAGTGCATTTTATGCTCCATCTCACATAGTTTTTTTTTTTTTTAAATAAAAACAACTTGCACTATATTTMTTCGAGAGCACTACAACTTTCATTCTAATCCATGAACTCATTAATGTGGTCTCAACATGCATAACAAAGCAAGTTCTAGAATAATCAAAACCATGCTTGACAATCACTCAATCAAAAAATTGGCTCATAAGCTCACATAAGGGTTAAATTTCTATTGAATCTTGCCCAATTTTCTTTTAATTTGACCATTCAAAATAGTGTGGTACCTATCATAGCAAAAAAATCAATTATTCATGCTTGCATCCTATCTTGTCTATTCAACCTAGGCACATAATTCATGATAATTTGAAGTCATTCAAAAATAAGTTTGAAGGGAGCAGAAATTTCAAAAAGAAAGGATAAAAAAAAGTGACGATTAAAGCATGCTAGAGTTAACACAAAAATTATCAAGTTCCCTCCCCCACACTTAATGTATACATTATCCCCAATGTATCAAGCTCACCCATAACTTTGAGTAAAATAGGAAAATTTAAGGGGACTTCCCTGAACGACGAGGTGGGGGGGG